ATCATTTGAAATTTGTGTCAATACGTCATAAATAGAACGCAGCAGCAGTTTTCTGTCGGGGATTTGTCGTGCCACGCCGCGCCACATCCAGTGTAGACATGATTATAATGAGTTCTATAGTATTTTGTAGCACTGCACCACTCGCGTCCGGTCTAGACACGGTGTAACATTGGTTTTGCTTTGTTTCACAGAACTAATTGTTGCTTAAAATAGGGGCAAGACCCTTTTGGGGTAGGGGCGTGTTTGTTTTGGTTATTTCAAATATCAACATTGGCTACCAGAAATCACTTACTCTGCCTTTAAATGTCAACCTTATAGTTTGAACGTTCGTTCGTCTTGGCTCAAAGCCACTTGCTGCGAACTTTTCTTCGCGGAAGCTTTGCGTTAAACAAGTGAGATAACGAAATATTTAATCTCTAATCAATATTTTTTGTCCAATTATTTGCCCAGTTAGTTTTGGTATTGAGGTAAAAGTTACCTTGCATTCGCTATACAGTGGGTGGTGGTCACGAAGATGACTGAGCAAATTTGATGCGTTTCCCCCTTTTGCAGCGACTTTCTTCTTGCAAGATCAGCAGACAGGGTGACCGTCCTCGATTAAATTGCCTTCAGGACTCTTGTAAAAGCCAAAATACGACCAGACCACCGATTTGGTCCTCTTAGATGGCTGAAAAATCTCCCGAGCGCTGTCACTGCCTTCTGCCATTTCCTCTCGTGCAAAAAAAACAACAACAACAACAACAACACTGCATGCTGCTTCTGCGTCAGACTGATGCTGGCTGGACAGGATTTACCGCGAGTTTTCAAAATCGCGATAATCAAATACGGTTTTGATGATAATTAAATGTAAAACGATAATACTAACCGTCAGGGCATTTTATCGTGATTTAACGTGAAACCGGTATTCGTTCCATCCCTACTCAGTCTCAACTGAATGTTCATGTAAGAAACGCTTATAATCTACAGTCCTCCTGCATCTCGCCTTTCTTGGCAGCATGAAACGCATATGGCCTCGTGTGAACAACTATTGTCCAATTCTGTCAAAATGCGACATTACTAATTCAGATTTAGTGTCATGGAGAGTATCATTACAACTGCAGGGACTGTTTTGTAATAAAGAATAAGCAAAGGCACAGCTAATAACTTTCAATTGCACTGCATGATATTCACAGCATGATCTATTAGTGTCTTGTTTACAATACACTTGCATTCAATAACTGAGTAACTATTTCTGAATGATAAAATAAAAATGCATTTGTTATAAATTGCACTGAAATCACGTTGAGAAAATTATGGACTATGCATGTCGAAGCTCTTAAAGAGGCACATTACATTCCTCATTCAGTATTGACATTTTGGTGGCAGTGAAAATGTGCTTCAGTGGTGTTATTAATATTATTTCACATGACTAAATCAACATGACCTCATCGATAAAAGCAATTTATCTGTCAGATCAGGTAGAAACAGCTCCTGCTTTTCCAAACAGACATGTATTGGTGGATCTTGTGATATTGTTCTAACAACAGAATGCTTTACAAAGACATATGAAGTAATATTTCCCAAATTTTAAGTAAGCTTTTTTTTATTATCAGGAACATATGCTTTGCACACACATTATGTGGTCATTTTATATTTAATAATGCTAAATTAATTTAGTATGAAATCAGTTACACATTAGAATGAAATGATTAGATAAAGGCTACAGATATTAAAATAAAAAGGGTGAATACATATTACACAGAGTGCATGCTTCAAATCAGTGTAAGTTGCCTTTTCTTAATGTAGAACGATTAAAACACATGTTGACAATTCTCAAAAACTTCACATACACAAATTCCTATTTCAAAACAAACAAAAACACATGTGCATCTACTACTGTCTGTATCCAGGAGTTATCAGAAGCACTGACCTGCAGCATGCATGCATGTTCAACAGGACACACCAGTTGCTCCTGAGCATGAGACTGCTATGCAACTCCACATGCCCATTTCACAAAGCCTCGTCGTTATATACAGCATGCATTTCCCAAAGCATGTGAAATTAATGCTAAAATATACTTTTGGCAGTAAAAAAAAAAAATCAACGCAACTTACGTCTCCACTTTGAAAGGCTGTAAATATCGCCTCAAACAGTGTGGTTATCCCCTTGCCAATATTCCGATGGAAGGTTGAGACTTTTCTCCTGGTGTCCCACTCAGAAGACGCGTGGCATGTCTGAGCGAGCCGCTGTATAAACACGCAGCGCGTGAGAAGCTGTGCTCTCCTGCTGCTCGGCTCCGGTACGCGAGCATTTATTCCGAGCGCACTGCTGTCATTCTTTCATCTATCCCTCCCGAAGCTCTGCCTCCCTGAATGGGAGGGTTTTACAACCCCAGAGCTCTGGCATCTATGGGAATGAGTGATATTTGCACACTAATATTTGCACATCTTTATGTTAAACAAGATAATGCGTAGAAATATCTCAAATTAAAGTAGAAATGAACATTTCTATATTTGAAACAAGGGGAACCGGGGAGGTTTCAGTTTCACCTAAAACTCACTATTATATACATGACCAGCTGTAAGTAATCAGATAAAGAGGAGTACAAAAATATAGCATTTGGAGTACTATATCAGTTTCTGCTTTTTTTTTTTTGCCTATGCACTTTGCAGTTTTTATTTATTTATTTGTTTGTTTGTTTTTGGATTGGTTGATTGATTGCATTTTCAAATTTCGAATGCTTTGGTGTTTTTTATTGCTTCAACCCTGCAGCGTGCATGTATTATTTTATGGTATTATTGTATTATTTATTTATTTGTGAAATTATTAAATACAGTAATATTCCATCAAAAACATATAGCCCAACAAATCACCAGATATTGCAACGAAATGTTACATAACTCCATGATTTACCCTGTACCTGAAAAAGAGAACAGTTCATGCATGGCACAGCCTTTTCAAATGTTAAATTAAATTAATAAGTAAAATCAATGTTTCGGTGTCAGAGATCAATGCTGAATCAACATGCAACATGAGTATCATGTTGATCAAAATGTGTTTTATTTTTCATTTGGCTTTCATTAAAAAAAATAGATGTTTGGTTTATTCAGCAGATGAACTGTTAAATTTATCAACAACAAAAAATGCTCCATGGTCATTATAAACCACACAATCCTGTATTACGCAGTAAACAACAGCTATCTGTCGGAAAGAATGTCTTTATCTTTGTGGACCTTCAAAGTTTGGTGTCAAAGGTTTCCTGCATAATGAATAATAATTATACACATTGCATTATGAAGTTTAATCTGCCAAAATATTAGCTTGAGTATACAACTCTATTTTTGAAACACCCACACAATGCACAACGGCATGTTTTCATTCAATAAGAGGTTGAACCACTAGGTAATAGTTTCTAAAGTTTTTTTTTTTTTCCTCTCTCTGTGTGGTCCACTAAATAAACCTCTGGATGCATTATGACAAACGGAATCTAGTCGTCGAAACCAGTCACAATGAATTTGAATTTGAATGAAGGTTTTTGGTGTCAACGTCGTCAGCCATGCATACATTGCAAGCTAGATGTTTTTCAGAAGCCCTAATGTTATTTTACAATGTGTCATTCAGATGGACTCTTCATTTAAACAGGCAGCATAAACAGACGAATATGAATTTGTGCTGCAGGAGGAGAGACACGTTTAACAAACTCCAGACCAGACTGACCACAGACTCACAGCAGACAGAATCTATAATTGCTTTATATTAAACAAGACCATATTATAAACTAAATTTAGAAGAATAAATAAATAATGTGCATTATTAATGCACGAAGTGCGAAAGAGTGATACAGAGGAAAAAATTGTAAATTATAAAATTATTTTTAAAATCAAATATTACAAATGAAAGTAGACTTGTGAGACCATTGAATGATTTATTTATATATTTATTTATTAATGTATAAATTCATTCATTGACACCGTATCAGAATGTCTATATTCATGGCAAAATCAACAACATTTAAATTTTACAAAACAATTATAATTACGATATCATTTCAATGCATTTTTTATAATGTAATAATTTAACAATTTTGTCTTAAAAAACTAATCAAAATACTAAAATCTACATATACTGCTAATAACAGTAATACATAACACCAATTATATAGAATCTTTTTTTTAAATGTCCATTAATAATGAAAACATTGAATAAAAACATTAAAATAACATATTTAATAAAGATAAAAAATATTAAAATAAATATCTGAATAAAAATTGACAATCTATTAGAATACGTTTCAAACTCAAGGTGTTTTTACATAAATCACAAACTGGTTTCTCATCCTCTTTCAATAAATATTAATGAGTGAGTCTTTAGTGTTCAATTCAACATCTCGTGTACACAACCTGGTCATATCTATTCTCAAAATAATAACAATAACTAACTCCTTCACTGGGTTTGATAATGTTTTACTCATCTACGAACATTCAAAATTACACTGCAAGGCACCTCTTGACTAAAGCTATAAACCTTTTTTTTTTTTCAAACACATGAATAAACAGGAAAAATGTGAGAGGATGCTGCTGTGCACAAGCTAGTGCATGGGAGATTTTCAATCTGTGACGTGAACAAATGCAAACACACACACACACACACACACACAGCCTGGTCGAGCCATTATGTCAGTCACTTCCGACTTGAGTGCTGCCATCTGCCCCCTAATGAAACCGTGCACTGTGGCTGATCACACACACATACACACTTTCTTCTTAAACCCATCTAATTCACACACACACACACACACACACACACACAAGCAGCAAACAAAAACTTACACATGAACCCTCTCAATGAAAGCTGCAGAAATTCAAGACTTTTAGCTAAAATTACAAAAGTTACTATTTTGGCATTTCTTTTTATAGCCATCTTCTCCATTTTCTGGGGGATTGTGGGTAGTGCTACATTGCAACACATTACCAGTTCTCGATTGTGTAAAGGTGTAAAGTATATAAAATTAGATCATGCACGCATCATAGTCCCATGAAATAGAATTTCTTCTCTTTTTGCCTCAGCTTTCACACAGGTAAACATACACACACAAATGCAGCAATATTTGAATTGCTCAGGTATGACCAAAACATAATCACTTCTGTCTGATTTTACCTCTGGTTGCCATGGAAACTTTTTCATTGTTGGTTATGTTGTTCTTTCTCATACAGAGTCGATCTTCAACACAGCAGATTTCCAGTTTGGAGAACAAACATTTTTTCTTGTTTACCTTTTATTATTATTTTGATTCAGATTACTTTTTCGAGTATTTCCTATGTAGAGAGTTTTCATTGACAGGGAGATCACAAATAAATAATAATGAGCCACAAACCAAATTGTCCAATTGCATGGCTCTTATTTAGTTCTTTTTCTCTAAATAAAAGCAAATTATATACCACAATGTTTTTAGAGAAAATGCTTATATTTTGTATTCTTTTCTAATTTCATATAAATGATTTCTTTGGAAATTATATTAACAGTATGACAGTCGTTTCAAAGAGCATCTTGTGCTTCAGTTGGAACAAGAAAATCTGACGTTCATGAACAATTTCACAAATTTGTTTATCACAAAATTTCTTATATTTGATATTCTCTGAATTATGTTTTTTATCTCTAAATTTAAATGGGAAAAAATGAGTGTGGTCTTAGACTTTACACTTTTATATGTATATAACATTATCTATGAATTATGAATATACTACAAATAAATGTAAACCTGTGAAGGGTGATACCAGTGATATATAAGCATCATTCTGATACTATTATAGTTATTAATATTTATTATTATTAGTAGTAGTAGTAGCAGTAGCTGTTGTTGTTGTTTTTATTCATTTTATTTCAGTTTCAGTTATTTTAGAACATTAGGTTAAACTTGTATTTATATATTATTATATATATTATTTATGGTTTTAGTTTTAGTTTTGGTTATAGTTGACTATAATAACCCTAGACAATTAAAAAAAAAATAACAACAACATTAAACCTAGTTCAGCATGGTGTAAGAACGGTCCTTTTTATATTTTTCAGTCTGTCCAAAGAAGCTGCATGAAGTTAAATTGTAACATTTTAACATTTCACATGACAAATCTAAGACAGCAACCATCTGACGTCATACCCGGTGTATTTTTGACAAAACTAGATTTGTGACAGGTCAGCTGAATTTCAGGTAGATAACTATACGTTTGTGATAAATGTGACAGATGTTGCCTGTAATCATAGTCTCATTGGTATGTCAGGCATGAGAAGAACTGCAGTGCGTCTCCAGGACCTCTGAAGTCAGAAACGCTCCTCACTCACTGCTGCTCTCATCTCATAGTCTGAAGGGTAACAGAACAGCAGTATATTAAACATAACTGTTTATATTCCACTCTCGCATGATGCATGGCCATAGCCAGGCTTTGAAAATTAGTGAGGTCAAGAATTGTGCTATAATAACCCCTACAAATACAACTCATTATATACACTAAAAACACTTTAAAAGAGACAGACATTTAGATGTTTGTGAAAGATGTTTTCTCTGTTTTGGAGGGATGATCATTCTTAAATCATACCCTATTTATTGCATCAAAATTTGTTAATACTTTACTATAGTTAGGGGTGAATAATTTAATCAGTTGTTGATTATTCATGCAACAATACATATTACTGTTATAGTTTTTATTAGTAACCATAGCTGATAAATTTGTCTAGCACTCTTATAAATGTTTATAGCATGATTTGTGAAAATTTAACTACTATACTGAATAACTTAGCATAGACTTCTTCATGGCTAGTGTTTGCGTATTTCATTTCATTCTGTAACCTACTTGTTCTCCAGATCTGTGTACTAGTGTTAAAAGCTACTGTTTTTGACAGCATTGATAACGTTTCTGACAGATAATATCAGGATATTTTTTGCATTTTCCTTACCGAATGTGCTATCCTGTCTGCAATAACC